GCGAATTTGATTGGTCACTGAACGCGTCGCGGTCACTAAACGCGAATTTGATTGGTCACTGAACGCGTCGTGGTCACTAAACGCAAATTTGATTGGTCACTGAACGCGTCCCGGTCACTAAACGCGCCGTGCTCATATCGAATTTGATTGGTCACTGAACGCGTCCCGGTCACTAAATGCGAATTTGATTGGTCACTGAACGCGTCGCGGTCACTAAACGCGCCGCGCACATGTCGAATTTGATTGGTCACTGAACGCGTCGCGGTCACTAAACGCGCCGCGCACATGTCGAATTTGATTGGTCACTGAACGCGTCGCGGTCACTAAACGCGCCGCGCACATGTCGAATTTGATTGGTCACTGAACGCGTCGCGGTCACTAAACGCGCCGCGCACATGTCGAATTTGATTGGTCACTGAACGCGTCGCGGTCACTAAACGCGCCGCGCACATGTCGAATTTGATTGGTCACTGAACGCGTCGCGGTCACTAAACGCGCCGCGCACATGTCGAATTTGATTGGTCACTGAACGCGTCGCGGTCACTAAACGCGCCGCGCACATGTCGAATTTGATTGGTCACTGAACGCGTCGCGGTCACTAAACGCGCCGCGCACATGTCGAATTTGATTGGTCACTGAACGCGTCGCGGTCACTAAACGCGCCGCGCACATGTCGAATTTGATTGGTCACTGAACGCGTCGCGGTCACTAAACGCGCCGCGCACATGTCGAATTTGATTGGTCACTGAACGCGTCGCGGTCACTAAACGCGCCGCGCACATGTCGAATTTGATTGGTCACTGAACGCGTCGCGGTCACTAAACGCGCCGCGCACATGTCGAATTTGATTGGTCACTGAACGCGTCGCGGTCACTAAACGCGCCGCGCACATGTCGAATTTGATTGGTCACTGAACGCGTCGCGGTCACTAAACGCGCCGCGCACATGTCGAATTTGATTGGTCACTGAACGCGTCGCGGTCACTAAACGCGCCGCGCACATGTCGAATTTGATTGGTCACTGAACGCGTCGCGGTCACTAAACGCGCCGCGCACATGTCGAATTTGATTGGTCACTGAACGCGTCGCGGTCACTAAACGCGCCGCGCACATGTCGAATTTGATTGGTCACTGAACGCGTCGCGGTCACTAAACGCGCCGCGCACATGTCGAATTTGATTGGTCACTGAACGCGTCGCGGTCACTAAACGCGCCGCGCACATGTCGAATTTGATTGGTCACTGAACGCGTCGCGGTCACTAAACGCGCCGCGCACATGTCGAATTTGATTGGTCACTGAACGCGTCGCGGTCACTAAACGCGCCGCGCACATGTCGAATTTGATTGGTCACTGAACGCGTCGCGGTCACTAAACGCGCCGCGCACATGTCGAATTTGATTGGTCACTGAACGCGTCGCGGTCACTAAACGCGCCGCGCACATGTCGAATTTGATTGGTCACTGAACGCGTCGCGGTCACTAAACGCGCCGCGCACATGTCGAATTTGATTGGTCACTGAACGCGTCGCGGTCACTAAACGCGCCGCGCACATGTCGAATTTGATTGGTCACTGAACGCGTCGCGGTCACTAAACGCGCCGCGCACATGTCGAATTTGATTGGTCACTGAACGCGTCGCGGTCACTAAACGCGCCGCGCACATGTCGAATTTGATTGGTCACTGAACGCGTCGCGGTCACTAAACGCGCCGCGCACATGTCGAATTTGATTGGTCACTGAACGCGTCGCGGTCACTAAACGCGCCGCGCACATGTCGAATTTGATTGGTCACTGAACGCGTCGCGGTCACTAAACGCGCCGCGCACATGTCGAATTTGATTGGTCACTGAACGCGTCGCGGTCACTAAACGCGCCGCGCACATGTCGAATTTGATTGGTCACTGAACGCGTCGCGGTCACTAAACGCGCCGCGCACATGTCGAATTTGATTGGTCACTGAACGCGTCGCGGTCACTAAACGCGCCGCGCACATGTCGAATTTGATTGGTCACTGAACGCGTCGCGGTCACTAAACGCGCCGCGCACATGTCGAATTTGATTGGTCACTGAACGCGTCGCGGTCACTAAACGCGCCGCGCACATGTCGAATTTGATTGGTCACTGAACGCGTCGCGGTCACTAAACGCGCCGCGCACATGTCGAATTTGATTGGTCACTGAACGCGTCGCGGTCACTAAACGCGCCGCGCACATGTCGAATTTGATTGGTCACTGAACGCGTCGCGGTCACTAAACGCGCCGCGCACATGTCGAATTTGATTGGTCACTGAACGCGTCGCGGTCACTAAACGCGCCGCGCACATGTCGAATTTGATTGGTCACTGAACGCGTCGCGGTCACTAAACGCGCCGCGCACATGTCGAATTTGATTGGTCACTGAACGCGTCGCGGTCACTAAACGCGCCGCGCACATGTCGAATTTGATTGGTCACTGAACGCGTCGCGGTCACTAAACGCGCCGCGCACATGTCGAATTTGATTGGTCACTGAACGCGTCGCGGTCACTAAACGCGCCGCGCACATGTCGAATTTGATTGGTCACTGAACGCGTCGCGGTCACTAAACGCGCCGCGCACATGTCGAATTTGATTGGTCACTGAACGCGTCGCGGTCACTAAACGCGCCGCGCACATGTCGAATTTGATTGGTCACTGAACGCGTCGCGGTCACTAAACGCGCCGCGCACATGTCGAATTTGATTGGTCACTGAACGCGTCGCGGTCACTAAACGCGCCGCGCACATGTCGAATTTGATTGGTCACTGAACGCGTCGCGGTCACTAAACGCGCCGCGCACATGTCGAATTTGATTGGTCACTGAACGCGTCGCGGTCACTAAACGCGCCGCGCACATGTCGAATTTGATTGGTCACTGAACGCGTCGCGGTCACTAAACGCGCCGCGCACATGTCGAATTTGATTGGTCACTGAACGCGTCGCGGTCACTAAACGCGCCGCGCACATGTCGAATTTGATTGGTCACTGAACGCGTCGCGGTCACTAAACGCGCCGCGCACATGTCGAATTTGATTGGTCACTGAACGCGTCGCGGTCACTAAACGCGCCGCGCACATGTCGAATTTGATTGGTCACTGAACGCGTCGCGGTCACTAAACGCGCCGCGCACATGTCGAATTTGATTGGTCACTGAACGCGTCGCGGTCACTAAACGCGCCGCGCACATGTCGAATTTGATTGGTCACTGAACGCGTCGCGGTCACTAAACGCGCCGCGCACATGTCGAATTTGATTGGTCACTGAACGCGTCGCGGTCACTAAACGCGCCGCGCACATGTCGAATTTGATTGGTCACTGAACGCGTCGCGGTCACTAAACGCGCCGCGCACATGTCGAATTTGATTGGTCACTGAACGCGTCGCGGTCACTAAACGCGCCGCGCACATGTCGAATTTGATTGGTCACTGAACGCGTCGCGGTCACTAAACGCGCCGCGCACATGTCGAATTTGATTGGTCACTGAACGCGTCGCGGTCACTAAACGCGCCGCGCACATGTCGAATTTGATTGGTCACTGAACGCGTCGCGGTCACTAAACGCGCCGCGCACATGTCGAATTTGATTGGTCACTGAACGCGTCGCGGTCACTAAACGCGCCGCGCACATGTCGAATTTGATTGGTCACTGAACGCGTCGCGGTCACTAAACGCGCCGCGCACATGTCGAATTTGATTGGTCACTGAACGCGTCGCGGTCACTAAACGCGCCGCGCACATGTCGAATTTGATTGGTCACTGAACGCGTCGCGGTCACTAAACGCGCCGCGCACATGTCGAATTTGATTGGTCACTGAACGCGTCGCGGTCACTAAACGCGAATTTGATTGGTCACTGAACGCGTCCCGGTCACTAAACGCAAATTTGATTGGTCACTGAACGAGTCGTGGTCACTAAATGCGAATTTGATTGGTCACTGAACACGTCGCGGTCACTAAACGCGCC